TCATCCCTACATAGAGCGTCTACCGACGCTCTGATATTGAAAATGTGACTTAAAAAACTGAATGGGCAATGTTTAAACAACTTGCTCTTTTGCAACCTTATACCTTTCTTGCAACAAAAACCATGCTCAAAGCATATGACAAGACAAGCAGTTGACTTGTTTGCCTTGCCTTGCCTTTCTACGTCGTTACCAAGTTGTTGAGACATACACACAGTGTAGCAGGAAAATGGCAATCTTGTGTCTTACTCTACTATTGCTGAGTGAATTGTACCTCTCCAGTCAGTCTCTGGTTCAGCCACTGAGAGTGTACATTGATGGAGCTGAGGGAAATGACAGCCTAGAGTGCCTGAATTCCAGTTCCATTGAGACTCCATGTCAGTCTCTCTCATTTGTATCCCAGAATCTGACTCAGAAACACTTTGTAGTCATTGAAATTTTGGGTGATGTGCTGAACTTGACAAGAGCTGTGAACTTCACTGACTACTCTAATCTCACCATCAGTGGCTCTGGAAGTAACACCACACTTCACTGCAATGAATCAGATGCTGGACTGGCATTTGTTCGAGTGGTGAATCTGTCAATATACTCCCTCACTGTGCAAAACTGTGGAGCTCCGAGACCTAGCACAACTCACCAAAAGTTACTCCCTATTGCTGTTTATGTCCTCAACAGTACCAATATGTCAATCCGCGGTGTGGCTGTTGTCTCATCAAACGGTACAGGGACTATCTATTTATGACACAAATGGAGTAGTGGACATCATACATTGCAACTTTACCAATAATGGCATGACAAACTACAATAGTCGGGAGGAAGTGGTTTGCACATAGAGTTCACTATTTGCACACCAGGATTAAACTGCTGTAAGAATCACGAAGGCAACAACAGTAACAGCAAGTACAGTATCCAATACTGCAGTTTTGTTAACAATTCGGCCCACTGGCCAGACTCTAATCCCAGACCTATACTGCCTTCATATCAGGTGCTTATTCCAAGACTTGGACTAGGTGGAGGACTGTACATCAGCATTGGTGCAGATGCAACGGATAACATTTTCATTTTGAAGTTTTGCAAGTTTTGGAACAACAGTGCTAGCTACAATGCAGGTGGAATGATTGCTGGATTCCTAAACTCTGCGACAAACAACTCTGTGTACATTTTTCAAACAGATTTTGAAGGAAACAAATGTATGACAACTCAGTACTCGAGTGCTGGAGGACTCTCCGCTATCTTCATGTTTTACAATGAAACCTACATTGATGGGAAACAGCCACAGAAAAATTCATTTATATGTGACTTTTGTTCGTTTCGGAATAACCGAGGACACATGGGAGGTGGAACTGGGATATATGCAGCAAAACACTCTAACTGGTCATTGTTGAGCACCATACAGTTCTCCAACTGCAACTGGACTGAAAATGAGTCTGCCATGGGAGCCGCTGTGTTTATCACTCCTGCTATCTGGGACTATACCAAAGAAGGTTACCTACCAGTTCCCAGGTTCACGGACTGCAGGTTTGAATCAAACTCTGCCATTCAGAAACTGGAACCACCAGTGGCACAAGGTATAGGTGTGCAAGTAGAATCTGTGGGCTATGGTTCACTATTCACAGCCACGTTTCAATCATGTTCCTGGTTATGTTCTGATGGTGAAGATATTTCTAGTCCAGCTGAAATCATGTCATGTATTGCCAACTTTGTTTTCGATGATTCTGACGCAACAAACACATCGTCTTTATCAACACGACCGCAAATGTTTGAACTAAAGGAGACATCTCCGTTAAAGCTTTTTCCTGGATCAGAGCATTATATTCAACTCTCCGCCTCTGATGAAGCTCAAAATAGCCTCCATAATCTAGTGTACGCAGCCTCAGTGACAAATCCAAGTGTCTCTATTGATTCTGCTTTCCGTCAAGTTTCAAACAACACTGTAAAAGTAAATGGCCGGGAAGGGTGACACATCAAAGTTAAAGCTATTCACAGCCGATGTATTCCTCTCAATCGACGTCACCCTCACCAGGTGCCAACCAGGGTACCACTATAGCAACTCCAGCCGAAAATGTGAATGTGCCTCGTCTGAGTACTTGGGTTTGGAGGGATGTGATCCTAATGTGTACCTTAGACAGGGCTACTGGATGGGTTATTGCTTGTTGGGCAATGGTTCAAGGGAACTCTGCACTGCATTATGCCCTTATGGATATTGCTCCTACACCAAGATGAACCCTGGGGCAGAACTTCATGTACTTCCAAATGACTCCAACTCACTGAATTCCGATATTTGTGGTCCTAATAGGGCCAATAGATTCTGTGGAGAGTGCTCTCCTGGTTACTCAAGGTATCATAACTCTTGGAAGCGTAAGTGTGGGCCTGAGAGACTCTGCCACTTAGGTTGGTTGTTTTACATCCTATCCAACCTCCTTCCTCTTACTATCTTCTTCATTATTGTTGTCTTTGTCCTTAATATCAGTTTTACGACAGGAAATGCCAACTGCTTTGTACTCTATGGCCAGCTACTGAGTTCTCTTGCTTTTAGCGGCAACGATTCCATTCAATTCTCTCCTGTTGCTAATCTGATTCAAGGCATAGTAACTTTTCCTTACAATTCTTTAAACATGAACTTCTTTGCTTTAGAGAGTTTGTCCTTCTGTCTTTGGAAAGGTGCTTCTTTACTGGAATCAATGATGATGAATTATGTAACAGTAGGATTTGCACTGGCTCTTGTGTTCCTGACAATAATTGTCACAAAAAACAGATATGTACGAGCAAAGATCTTTTTTAGGCTTCAACATCGCAAAAGTGTGCTCATACATGGCCTCTCGGCCGTTTTCATCCTCGGTTATTCTCAAGCTGTTCGAACCTCCTTTCATATCCTGAATCTCTCGTGCCTTTATTCAACCAACTTCAATTGCAGAGTAAGGGTTGTGCACCTTGCTGGACACTTGACCTATTTCGAAGGAGAACATGTTCCATATGCCATTGCTGCAATCCTTGTTTTTCTCTTCATGATCATAATCCCACCTCTTCTGCTGGTGTGCTACCCACTGGTGTTCAAGCTGTTTGGTCACTGCAACCAGAGTGAGACAAAACCGGTCACCATTCTCTGGAGGATGATGCCAATACAGTTCCTTGATGCATTCCAGAGCTCCTTCAAGGACAAGTATCGCTTCTTTGCTGGACTCTACTTCCTGTATCGTGCTGCCATTCTTGCTCTGTATGTGTTCTCTCAGACATGGCTAGCCTTCTACTCAAGTGTACAGTTGCTGCTTACAATCATACTGACTGTTCACTCAATTCTTCAGCCACACAAGGAAAGAAAGCATAACATTGTGGACTCACTTCTCTTTGCAAATCTCTGCCTCATCAATGCAATCACACTCCACTATTATGCCTCGACTGAAGTTTTGGGACTTTTCAAATCCAATGAAGTGTTTATCAATGCGTTAGCGATACTTCAAGCTGTGCTCATCATCTTACCCTTGCTTCTTGGCACTACACTTCTGGTGGTGGAATGGAAAGTGAGTAGGAAGAAAAGAAAGGACTATGAAGATCTTCCCTCTCTTCACATCGATAGATAGATCGATAGCATGGTAAAGGACTTACTAACTAAACTAATTAAGTGTGCTTCAGTATCTGACTTGGATTCAACTTTGTGACAACTCTAACATTAATTAAGTGTGTGTGTGAATGAACCTTGATTATAGCGTATACTTATATGTACCACACTTTCGCTGCACTCTTCGATACCTGACCGAGGCTGTATATACCCCTTTCCAATGTTCGTGGTTCTAAGGTTCAAGTTGTAAATAGGCTCGTGCAGATACAGTCATTGTGTGCTCGCTCCCGCTCGCCAAAAATGCCATGCATTCGCCTACTAGTATTTATCGTACTTCGTACGTCGTGTAAGTGCGCATGCGCGGCTTTGCAAATGTTTACACATTTTCCCACCCGGTGCCTTGCCAATCGATCTAGGCAGCTAGAGAACTCTCCTGCATTCGACGGCATGCGCTGCAACCTTCGTTGACTGACCGAGGCTGTACCTCTTCCCAATCTTCATGATTCGAAGGTGCAACTTTCTAATAAGCTAGGCTTGCTCGTGCAGATACTGCTGCATGCCTGCATGCCTGCTGCCTGGTGGACCACGACTGACGGGTTGTAACGGCGACAGGTAGATCTGTCATGCTTCACGAAAGGAAAGCTGTGCACTGACGGCACGTTATGCAGCGCGGGCAAATCCCAAGTTGGGTCGCTCCCGCTCGCCAACAATGTTCAACATTTCCACTAGTATCAATCTTCTCGTCGTTCACAACCTGTTGGTGCCACTCATTGGCCGCCTCGTAGTCTGTAGTGCTAGAACTCGCGCGGACAGACGGACAGACGGACAGACAGACAGAACGACTACTGTAACCCTCGCTGCGCATGCGCGCCGAGGGTTAATAATCAACACTAGGATAAGAGCTTCACTCTCACTGGCTCTCCAACTACTGAACCATTCAGTTATACGGCAACTATGTACTATCTGGGTGAGGAGGAAAGAGACCCTGGGCTAAGCTAAAACATAACAGTATTCCTTGAGAGAATTCGCTGTTTTTTAAGCTTTCTAAAGGCTGAATGGCCTGTGGAAGATTTAGCAGTGAAAGTCAACCACCTACGAGTTATTCAAGAACAACATTGATGTAAAAACATGGGACAAACACCAGAGAGAGTCTCTAGTAACTACCCAGTTGAAAATGCTCTGCTTAAAGCTTACGTTTTTCCTGGTGATAACGTATCTCTCCAGTCGGTGTCTGGTTATATATCCAAAGTCACACCAAGGCACTATTTGATGTGTCTTTCTTTGAAAACAACTGGGAAGTTGTATATACAAAAAAACAGTGAAAGTATTGACTTTGAAACTAAAACAACTGGGTTTAAAACCCTTTCATACAAAACAAACACTGAAGTAAAACACTGTCCAGTAGGGCAAGCAAAAAAACCACAGACTTAGCCAGTCCAGCAGGAAAATGGGCCTTCTACATCTCAGTCTGTTACTGCTGATTCTCTCCAGTCAGTCTCTGGTTCAGCCACTGAGGGTGTACATTGATGGAGCTGAGGGAAATGACAGTCTAGAGTGTTTGAATTCCAGTTCCATTGAGACTCCATGTCAGTCTCTCTCATTTGTATCCCAGAATCTGACTCAGAAACACTTTGTAGCCATTGAAATTTTGGGTGATGTGCTGAACTTGACAAGAGCTGTGGACTTCACTGACTACTCTAATCTCACCATCAGTGGCTCTGGAAGTAACACCACACTTCACTGCAATGAAGCAGATGCTGGACTGGCATTTGTTCGAGTGGTGAATCTATCAATGTTCTCCTTCACTGTGCAAAACTGTGGAGCTCCGAGACCTAGCACTACTCACCCACGTTACCTCCCTATTGCTGTTTATGTCCTCAACAGTAGTAACGTGTCATTGAGTAGTGTAGACATCGTCTCATCAAATGGTACAGGGCTCTCCATGTATGACACGAATGGAGAGGTGGGCATCGCGTACTGCAACTTTGTCAATAACAGTCTGGCAAACAAGAGTGAGTCGGGAGGTGGTGGTTTGTACATAGAGTTCACTATTTGTACACCTGGATTTACCGGAGACTCTTGTAATGGTCACAATGATCGTAACAAGTACAGCAGCTACAATATCAATCATTGCAACTTTACAAATAATTCGGCATCCTCTCCACAACAGGCCAACAAGTTTATACTGCCTTCACAACAGGTGTTTGTTCCCAGACTTGGAAAAGGTGGAGGGTTATACATAAGCCTCGGTTCGAATGCAGCAGATAATGTTTTCCGGGTGAACTTTTGTACTTTCAAAAATAACCAGGCTGTTAACAATGGAGGGGGTATGATTGCTGAATTCCTCAACTCGGTGGAAAGGAACCGTGTGATAGTTAGTGACACCAGTTTCATAGACAACGTATGTATGCAAACTCAGTTCTCGGATGCTGGAGGACTTACTGTTGGATTCATCTTTTACATCACTGAGGGAGAACATCCACAAGACAACACGTTTGAATGCCATTTTTGTTCATTCAAGACAAACAGAGCACACATGGGAGGGGGAACTGCAATATTTGCAACCAAAGACACTCGCCGGTCGTCATTAAGCAGTATTCTGTTTTCCAACTGTGACTGGATTGAGAATGAGTCTGCCATGGGGGCTGCTGTGTTTATCACTCCTGCTATCTGGGACTATACCAAAGAAGGTTACCTACCAGTTCCTAAGTTCCAGGATTGTCATTTTGAATCGAACTCTGCAATTCAACAGCTGAAACCACCCATGGCAGAAGGCATTGGAGTAGAAGTGAAATCTGTGGGTTATGGTGCACTGTTTATAAGTGAGTTTCATGTGACATTCGAAGGGTGTTCAGACTTTGTTAATAATAAGGGGCTCAGCAATTCACCTTTCAGACAGTGTGATAGAGTTCACACCAGAGTCTGGTGTCACATTTAACAACAATACTTCACACAAAGGTGGAGCTATTGCGATGTATAGCTCTTCAATGATTAAGTTTGGGAACGGTTCGTTTTTCTCGTTTTCTAACAACATAGCAGACGCTAGAGGTGGTGCAATATACTCTGATTTACATGCCGCAACCCATCCAGCCTATCGCAACTGCTTCATTCCTCGGATGAGTCTTTCCCGTCAATTCCGAATTTGTTTTTACAGGAAACTATGCAAGATCCGGTGGAAATTCAATATTCACCACAACATTTCAGTCGTGTGCACTGTTATGCAAATTGACCGTGGAGCTTAGTCCTGCAGATATTATGTTGTGTATTGCCAATTTCACTTTCATCGATTCAATGGACACTACTTGTCCCTGTCGTCACGTCCTGAAAAATTTGAACTCAAAGAAAGCTCTCCAGTCATGCTAATTTCAGGGATGGAGTATATTCTTGACCTGTCGGCCTATGATGAAGCCGGTAACTCTGAAATGAGTGATATTGTGTACGCAGCCTCTTCTACAAGTCAAAATGTCAGCGTAGATCCGGCTTTCCAACAAGTTTCAAACAACACAGTTATGGTACTAGGAGAAAATGGATCCACAGCAGAGTTAAAGTTGTTCACTGCCGATGTATTAGTCTTAATCAATATCACGCTAACAGAGTGCCAACCAGGGTACCACTATAATCCCTCCAGTTTAAAATGTGAATGTGCCTCATCTGAGTACGTTGGTTTGGAGGGATGCAATCCAAAAGTTTATCTCAGACATGCTATTGGATGGGCTTTTGTTCAGAAAAAAGGAGCGAGCTCTGCACAGCTTACTGCCCTTATGGATTTTGTTCATACAGTCACATAGATCCTGGGGCACATGTACATGCATTAGAGAATGACTCCCACCTATTAGACTCTGACATTTGTGGTCCAAGCCGAACTAACAGGCTATGTGGTGAGTGTTCCCCTGGTCGTTCTGTGTATCACAACTCTTTCAAGCGAACGTGTGGCTCTGAGCATCTGTGCCACTTTGGTTGGTTTTTCTACATACTGTCTGACCTACTCCCACTCACCCTGCTCTTCACTGTTGTCCTAGTCTTCAACATCAGTTTCACAACTGGGAACGCCAACTGTTTTGTACTCTATGGTCAGTTACTTGGCTTCCTCGCTTTCAATGACTCGGTACAGTTTTCTTTTGCTGCAAAGTTGATTCAAAACATCGTGACATTTCCTTACAATTCGTTCAACCTCAACTTCTTCACTTTAGAGAGCTTCTCCTTCTGTCTTTGGAAAGGTGCTACATTCATGGATTCGATGATGATGAATTACCTCACTGTTGGATGTGCACTAGCTCTTGTGCTGTTGACCATATTCATCACCAGATACAGATGTGTACACACTAAAATCTTTAAGTTTCATCATAGAAAGAGCTTCTTAATACACGGCATGTCAGCCTTCTTTATTCTCTGCTACTCTCAGGCTGCCAGAACCACCTTCCATATCCTGAACCCCTCGTGTCTCTATTCAGCCAACTTTAGCTGTAGAGTAAAGGTTGTGCATCTGGCTGGACACTTGACCTATTTCGAGGGAGAACATATCCCATATGTCATTGCTGCAATCCTTGTTCTTCTCTTCATGATCGTAATCCCACCACTTCTGCTAGTATCCTACCCACTGGTGTTCAAGCTGTTTGGTCACTGCAACCAGAGTGAGACAAAACCGGTCACCATTCTCTGGAGGATGATGCCAATACAGTTCCTTGATGCATTCCAGAGCTCCTTCAAGGACAAGTATCGCTTCTTTGCTGGACTCTACTTCCTGTATCGTGCTGCCATTCTCGCCTTTTTTGTGGGCTGTCAGTCATGGCTGGAGTTTTACACTACTGTGCAGCTTCTATTGATTGTTATTACGACAGTTCATTTCGTCATCCAGCCACACAAGGAAAGAAAGCACAACATCGTGGACTCCCTTCTCTTTGCAAACCTCTCCCTCATCAATGCCATCACCCTCTACTACTATGGCAGGACTGAGGTGTTTGACCAGTTTAGGTCCGAGATGCTGATCAGTTCCCTGGCGATAGTTCAGGCTGCTCTGATTATCTTACCTTTGCTTGTTGTCATTATTCTTCGTGTGGTTGAGTGGAAGATGCGAAGGAAAAGGGATGACTATGAAGGTATTCAGTAGGGAAGACAATGGGGAAGGTGTGACACAACTACAAACACAACTACAAACGATAGCTACTTCAAACTAGGTATTTCGGTGTGTCTGTGTGAACATTTTTTAGTGTGTAAGTTTGAGTAACAAATTGCCCTGTGTTGCTAGTTATACAATCACATGAAACTAAACAAAAATGATCAAGTT